CCCATTGGATGCAAAATTTCTTGTGCAAAACAGCATATAAAATGCTAGCAGCTTTTTTTCACCAAACTTCTCGCCTCGATGAACTTACAAAAACTTGTATTCGTCATAACGCTCGTTTCCATTTTCGTTCTTCCCTCATTACAATTTCAAAAAAAAAGGAAAATATTCCAAAATCCCTTATTATTTAAAAGATTTCATCAATTTAGACTATATATGAATGATATAATACAAGAACTAGAGAGCCTAAATTCTAGAAGCCTGAAAGATCTAATTGTTCAACAATTTGAAAATGTTAAAATCTGCTTAGAAAATGAAGACTTTAAACTAGCGATATACTATATGCCAACTCCAGATAATATAAAAAAGCTAGGATCGGAACAACTTGAATTTTTTAATATAAAGAAAGAATATCTAAATGCACAATTACAAATATTATGTTTGGGTTTAAAGGTGTTTGAAAACGGCCTCAAAAAACCCCTGTGTCAAAAGATTAAACAAATTTTCGATCTTTTAGAGATGATGCAAAAGAAAACAATTGACCTCTCTAAAAAAAGTGAAAGCACTAGAAAAGAGCTAAAAAAAGAGTTTGAAAATATACTTGAAAAAATTAAAGAGAATCCAAATGTTCCAGAAATTTTGAAAATTCTAGAAAATCTAGAGGAGAAAAACAACGAAAAATATGAAAAGGTAAAAAAAACTCTAGATGCTCTAAACAAGCGAAAAATTGAACCTATAGAATATACTTTCATTTCTAATGGATTTCTAAACCATCTGAAAGATCAAGATGCTGGAGATGGTGAAAATAAAATTAAAAAAATGTCTACAGAGTTTTTTGAGATTCGGGAAGAATTAAGAAAATCTGATTCTTCTATTCTTGTGCCTTTTATAACTGGCTCCGATTCTCTAACCAAAGATATAGACAAAGGGCGTAAAGAAGCTCTAGAAACTCTAGAAAAGATAATCCTTGAAATATCTCCAGAATATTTATCACTTCAGCCAGAGAAAAAAAAGCGAAAATTAAGTGAAGCCAGTGATAAACCATCAGAAGTATTAAAGCAGCAGAATGCTCCTATCTAACAATAAATTATACCCATTTAATACCATTATTTGATACGAAGATCCTCCCAATTTTGGGTCAGTAATTTAAGCCTATGCTGGTCGTTGT